ACCACTTCACAAATGGTTATAAAGTCATACCCACCACTTCCACAGTGACCACAGCAAATGACCAAGCATGAACTAAAGGTAAAGATGTTTACAGATTACTTTTCTTACAAAAAAAAAATTTAGAAGACACTGTGTTTAAATAGATATTTAAATGTTTTTGAGATTTAGTAACTGATTTTTTTAGCCATGCCTATCGCATGAACTATAAAACTGTGTGTGTTAGATGTAAGATATTTATAAGACGTATGAGTTGGAATTTGATGATTCCTCTCATTGAAAAAGTAATTCTAATAATTTGAAAAAGTATCTGGTAGCGATGATGGAACAGATCATGAAAAGTAGATTTAGATAGTGTGAAAATAGGCAGTTTAACAGATTGGAATAAAGCCTACTCTATCAGTTAAAATACATTAATACACATTCATTTTTAAAGAAAATATTTGTTTTAACATACATAAACAAATTGTATCAGTGTTTGTGAATAAAATGGAAAAATGATTGTTAACGATTGGTGCTCCTCAAGTGAGCTTAAAACTGATCTAAGACCTCTATCCAAATTTGTCCTGTAGTAATAGTATATTAATAGATTGTTGGTGTTTAAAGATCTGAAGTGTGAGTAGAATGTATTCAGCTGTTTAACATGTAGTTTAGAGATTCAAAAGTATGCATGTAGAATTTAAAGAATATGTTCAAAATTAAATATTAATTTTAATATTTGGTTTGGAAAAGCATGTTATAATATAATGTTTTCACTATATGGCCTCTGTTTGGTGTGTTTATTTACTATACTCTTTGAGATAGATGTAACAGTGCATTTAATATGTGAAATTAATAATTAATAGAAAATATAAATTTCAGTTCAAATATTCATCTTTGATTTTACAAATGCTGAGTGACATTACCTAAAAGCAAAAGCTTTACCCAGCATTTGGAGTTTGCTTTATTGGTCATTTGGTTTTTAAGCTTACTATTAGTAATACGGTAGCTTTAGTGAACTTTTTTTAAAAAAAGCTTTCCTCTTCTACCCACACAGTCTTATTTGAGTCCCTTAGTCAGTCAGCAAGCATGTTTGGAACAGACCCTGGTACTTTGCAAGGGGTTCATATTGCAGAACAGTCACGTATGGGTATTTGTAGTTACAAATACTTGACGGCTCTCCAAGGGTGTGGTTTCCAACCCTTTAAACAACCCTGTTGCCCGTTACCAAGCTATTTGCTCCAAGTGCCAGAATCAATTCTGGTTAGGAAATCTTTTGCTGAGAAATAGATGAAATGGAACATAATGGGTCTGCTTCAAATGCTGATAAAATCCACCAGAATCGCTTGTCAAGTGTTACAGAAGATGAAGACCAAGATGCTGCTCTTACCATTGTAACAGTACTGGACAAAGTTGCCTCCATTGTGGACAGTGTGCAGGCAAGCCAGAAGAGAATAGAAGAGAGACACAGGGAAATGGAAAATGCCATCAAATCTGTCCAGATCGACCTGTTGAAGCTTTCACAGTCACATAGCAATACAGGCTATATCATTAATAAGTTGTTCGAGAAAACGAAAAAAGTCAGTGCTCACATTAAAGATGTGAAGACCCGCGTGGAAAAGCAGCAAACTCATGTTAAAAAAGTTGAATCCAAGCAAGAGGAAATAATGAAGAAAAACAAATTCCGCGTGGTAATCTTCCAGGTAAGCTTGTGCTTGTGTTCAGATTGATTAGTATAATCTCTTGCGTCCTTTAATTGCCAACACATCATATCAGAGGTTTCCAGAGTCACGCCTCAGCTATCATATATGTTAATGCAGTGGAGCTCGGTATCAGCAGAGATCTCGGAGTAAAACCATTTCTCTGTTAACTAATGTACTGTCTGTCGTCTCAGCGTGTTGAGCTTCTCAACCATTTAATGTAATATGAACTATGGCTTATACCTTAGGCTATTTCTTGCCTTGAAATTTAATCTTAGTAAGAGCCTTTGAGCATGTTAGCCTTATTAACTTGGTGCCTTGTCAAGCTTTGAGAATGTTAAAACTAGAAAGACCTAACAAATTTCATGTTATAAGAAAAACCTTTTGATCCCAAAATTTTATGTCAAAGAATTTGTTTTGAAGATAAAATTAGGAATATGCACAGGGATATTCAGTACCAAAGATTTATTAGATGTTAGAAAACTGTATACAGCATTCACATGGTTGTTCTTAGCTACTAATATTAATAGTAATTATTCCTCATAGTTAATATGTATAAGTGGTTATATTGAGATATTCCTTCTACTGAAATTAACCTGAAACTGAGCAATTTAGCAAGAATATACATTTATTTCCATTTGGGTTATTACTCCAAAAGTTTTCCTGAGTATTTATTTTGTCTATGTTTTTTGTTAGTATCATATTACCTATAATTGTATGTGACTAAGATTTCACCAAATCCTGGATGTTGGCATTTAAAAAATTATCTTCTATTTCTTAATGTAATTATGGTTTCTCTTTGAGCATATTTTCATCTTGATGACCTCTCTCATCATATAGGCCAAGAGTCTTCTGACAACTTTGGTTTTAATCGCCAAATTACCGTGAGGTATTTGGCCATTCCCTAGTGATAAGTCCCAGATTTCTATATATTGAAAATTCTCCAAACTATATTACTTGGATGTTCAATCAAGTCCACTCTAATCAGTCTTCATTCTGTTACAAAAATGGCCTTTTACCTGGACTTTTACATAAAAGATACCATTATATTTGGAAATCACCTATAATTCAACCGTATAATGTTCAATTATTGTAGTATATTCATTATCAACTCATGATACCTGTGATTCATAGGAGTTGCAACAAATAGATCCATATAACAAGTTTTTTTTTTTTAAAAAAAAAAAAACCAAAACCAAAAAAACCCTATCTGCTTAAGTTTGTTTTTAGGCCTAATTTTGCATTATTTGTTGTGCAGTTAAAGCAGAGTGTGAGATTCCTGAATTAAGCTGTATCTGATTCTTCATAGCAAGATTGGGAGTGGGTTTTTTTTTCCCCCTCCTAAGCAGTAATTACTCTTTGGCTCCTTCCTTTTCTAATTATACCTTCTCAGGCCATACCAACCCACATTGCGTTGCTGAAGCTACGCTCTGCAGCAGGTGTCAGGAAAGGAGAGGAATAATTTCACTGCTTCTAACTGATTCATCAGAGAGTTATGAGACGCCCACCTCTGCCTTTTTTTAGCTCCTGTATTCTCCAATCCTGTAGCCAAAGAATTTAATTTTAAATAAGTATATAAAAAAATGATTTGGGGGACACCTTCTTGACTATAAGGCTAAGTTTTATAATATGCTTAAGTATGATTTTTAAATATGTTTTTTTTTTTAGTTGAGTGTATTTTATATGGATCTCAAGAGTACAATTTCTTTAAGAAAGTTTAACCCATGGTTTAGTTAAAAATCACATGATCTTTAAAGTTTTGCCTGTTTATTTAGTTTTAGAAATAATCCCCAAGTACTTGGTTGGTTCCTTTGGCAGCTGTGGTCTGGACTGGCTCTCGGGGTCTTCAGTGTCTGTCATGTTCCCCAATCTAGTTCTCATCCTTACCTTCTTGACCCACTTGACACAGCTGATTTCTCTTTCTTATTTCGAAACGTCTTTCCTCTGAGTGTCTGGGGGTCTTACTGCTGAATTTCTCTTGCCTCATTGGCTACCTCTCATTTTTGTTCTTTCTAATTTACTTCTCCAAAACCAAAAATTTCAAAAAATGAAAAATTTTTATAACTTATTTGGCCATACGACCTAGCTTGACCTGAATTCATTGGTTGTAAAACCTGGCCTGAAATGGCATTATAATACTTATAATACCTATCCTACCCTAGTATGAATATTCATATATATATTTTTTGCAATGGAAGTGTTTCTCCCCAAGATCTAAATGGGAATATTATGTAGTATTTCAAAATCTGAACTGTAATTCTGAAACACATTTTGATTACAAAGAGTTTTGAATAAAACAGAGTATAAGACTCATTCACTCATTCTTTTGGTCTCATGACTTTTAATTTCATCTTTCTATTAATGACTCTTCAATTTACGTCTCTAGCCCAGACCGCTCTGAATTTCAGATTCATACTCAGCTACCTCTGCTCGCATGTCCAGAGAGCATTTCAAAGACAGTATGTTCAGATCCAATCCTCCCTCTCTAGGCTCTTTTTCCTGTTGTCTTCTCCATCTCAGTAGATGGCAAATCTGCCCTTCAGTTTCTCAAGTAGTTGAGGATCATCCTATAGCATCTAGCATTCCATGTCCATATTTAGTAGCAAATTCTATTGGCTTCTATCTTCAAAGCAGATCAGGAATCAAACTACTTCTCACCATCCCCTAGGGGGGATGACCACACTGCAGTTCCTTCTCCATTCTTCTCTTGGGATTTTAGGCACGCATGCACACACACCCAGTGTGAGTTTCAAGCTGCTGGGTCTGGTACTTGAACCGTGGTTGACTATATGGGAGTCCAGCATAACCATTATGCCATCTGCTGGTCACTCTGTTTTATTATTTTTTTCATAAGAAAGAGACAGAGTCGGACACCCCTAATATGATCCCCACCCTGTGATCCACCCCATAGTCTCAGCTTGCCTGGTTCAGGATTACGTGCTCATGTGGCAGGCGTACCCAGGGAGGCCCAGAACATGAACCCAGGGCCTGTCACACATGGCTCAGTTGTACACCACCACCTGGCCTGCAATTTTCAACAGAGTGGTCCTTTTATAATGTGGGTCAAATCACACCACTAATCTCCTTAAAACCTTTCTGTCTGAACCAGCAGACGGCATAGCAGTTACATCGCTGGACTCCCCACATGATTGACCCTAGTTTGGGTCCTGGACCTGGCGGCTTCAAAATCATGCTGGGTACATGTTCATGTGTGCTCAGGATCCCGGGAGGAAAGTGGAGAAGGGATTGTGGGGTGGCCATTTCCCTGGGGGTGATTTCTCACTTTCTCTCTCACTGTGTCTGTCTACCTGTCTCTCTTTCTGGCAAGCACACGTGTCCTATGGCTAAAAACCTCTCTTAAAAAAAAAAAAGTCTGTCCTACTCAGGATAAGAGCCACTGTCCTCATTGGACGCAGAGCGCTGAGATAGCGCTGTGCCACTCATCGGAGTCCACCTCCTGCTACCTCCCTTACCCGCTCTCTTCCTCTTGCCCCTTGATCACTCTGCTCTAGCCATGTTGTTGTTTCTTCATTCCTGTTGTTTTTCCGTCTTCCCAGATCTAAACTTGTCAGTAAGCTTATAGACAAGCTTCAGGTCTAGGCTGAGGTGTCATCTTAGTGAGACCTTTGTGACCACTGTATTTCAAATACTGCACTCCCTACTCACTGTGTCTCTCCCTTCTTTTTCTCACCTTAGCACTTACTGACATCCATTCTACTTGTTATACTTGTTTATTTTATTTGTTTATTTGTCTCTCAAAAATATAAGCTTATTTATTCTTCTCTTAACAGAAGCGTCTTAGTTCCCAGAACATTGGCTGGTACATGGTGGGTGTTTAGAAAGTATTTCTTGAATGAAGGCGTAAGCCTCTTTGGCTTAATCATTTTCAGTATACCTGCTATGTACAAGACTCTCTGGTGGATGGTGGGCATAAAATGTAAACAATTATCTTTGTTTTCAAGGAACCTATTAATTTCTGAAAGCCCCAGGGAGACCAATATAAATGAGTATATTTCTGATTGAAATTGTGGTGAATGTTATAAATTGTGTTGCGTACATATTCTTTTGGTGTAAATAGGATACAAAAATAACTACTTGAGGGAGTTGAGACACTTGAATTGATTTTTATAAGTTTTTATTTATTCTCGGGCCAGAAGGTGGCATTGGTGGTTAAGGTACTGGGTTCACACATGGCCGGCCACAGTTTGAAAATTATGCTGGGCGTGCGTTTGTGCATGCCCAAAATCCCAGGAGGGGGATGGAGGAGAAGGGATTGTGCTTTGGTCGTTCCCCCTGGAGGATGATTTCTCACTTTCCCTCTCACTGTCTCCCCCTGTCTCTCTCTGGCAAGCTCATGCACCCTATGGCAAGAATCTAAAAATAAATAAACAAATGAACACATTTATTCTGTGAGTGATAAAAAGCAACATAGCATTCTTGACCAGGAATTGACATTGCAATACCCCATCGCCCCCAGCTTCAGCCAGCCCTATATCATGGACACATGCTTGCCTGCTAGACTCAGGGAAGGCTCTGGATACAAACCAGTAACCTCATCTGTGTCTGTTTCACAGAGTGTGGCACTTTACTGCCATGCCACCAGCCTCTCTTAAGTAGTTTTTGAAGGAAGATTTTGTTACAAAACCAAAAAGAGGTGAAGTGGCATTTAAGATCTCAGAACCCACGTATACAGAGGTGGAGAGGGTTGAAAACATTTTGTGCATGAGGAATTGAGAGTGGTGTGTGTTAGTGGGCTAGAGAAGTGAGAAAGTAGGTTTCGCTCAAGCTTAGAGCCTTCTAAGCATACTGAAGAATTTGAGCTCTATCCTTTGAGTATTGATAAGCTCTCAAATACTTTAAAAGGAAGTAATCAGAGCTATGCTTTGGAAATGTTTCTTAGAAAATACTTGGGTGATATTCTGAAGGTACACGGATCAGTGAGGAGATCTTGCTAAGTTCAGGCCTGTGATGACAAAGACCTGAGTTGCATATAGGATGAGAGGGAGAGGATTATTGGGGTTCATGCTTCTGAGATTACTATCTTTTAAAGAATTATTTCACTTTATTTACTTAAAAAAAATTTTTTTTTGATCAGAGAGCAAGAGAAAGAGAGAGAAAGTGAGAAAGCAAGCTGCCAGATCCAGGACTCAAACCGCAGTCAGCCATGTGGGAGTCCAGCACCCCTAACCACCACGCCACCTGCCAGACCCCTGAAATTACTATATTATGTGGCACTGGGATGGGTGCTGGAACTGAGGGGTTCAGTAATGTAACTACAAGTGGAAATGATGGTGGATGGGTCTTGATTTATGGACCTGGTAAGTTTGAGGTTCCTGTGCTATGTTTCGGAGAAGTCAGCCCATCATGTAGACGTGTCTTCATCTTGGAGAAGGGGAAAGATGAAGCCATAATAGTTGTGACTGTCCTTACAATTTGGTTTGAAAGCATAGGAGTGGATGAGCTTGCTCAGGATGATCTTTGAGATAAAGGAGAGCAAAGGGCTAAGGAAAGAGATACCCTCAGAATGGACTGAGGATAAACAGCCTGTGGAGATTTGCAAGGTGTGGCCAGACGATAAAAGAGCCAGTCTCTAATGCAAAGGAAACACTCACTTGCTTTTTTTTTTTCTCTCCTGCAGGAAGAGATTCGGTGTCCAACATCCCTGTCTATTGTTAAAGACCGAAACCTAACCGAAAACCAGGAGGAGGAGGAGGATGTCTTTGATCCCCCAATAGAGCTCTCATCAGATGAAGAATATTATGTTGAGGAAAGCAGATCTGCCAGGCTTAGAAAGTCAGGCAAGGAGCGCATTGATAATATCAAAAAGGCATTTTCCAAAGAAAACATGCAGAAAACACGGCAGAATTTTGACAAGAAGGTGAACAGAATTAGAACTAGAATAGTGACCCCAGAGAGGAGAGAGAGGCTGCGGCAGTCAGGGGAGAGGCTGAAGCAGTCAGGGGAGAGATTTAAGAAATCTATTTCTAATGCAGCTCCTTCGAAGGAAGCTTTTAAGATGTATAGCCTTAGAAAAGCTAAGGACCGATCTGTGGCTGAGGGTCAGGAAGGTGGCAGGGAGATGGGCAGGGAGATGGGTGTGGACATCCTTGCCAGAAGTGAGCCCCTGGGCCCCATCAGCGAGCTCTACACAGATGAGCTCAGTGGGACCGAGCTCCAGGCAGCTAGGGCAGTGTATCCTCCCCACGAAGGAGGGGAGATCCCCACTCCTGAGCCTTTGAAGGTCACTTTTAAACCTCAGGTGAAAGTAGAGGATGATGAATCTCTTCTGCTAGACTTAAAGCAGTCATCATAAAGAGGAATTAAGTACAATTGGACCTTCTTATCAGCGGGTTCCACATCCACGGAGTCAACCAATCTCAGATGGAAAATATTTGGGAAAAACAAAAGTCAATAGTAAAGGATAATACACATTGAAGATATAGCAAGTAAACAAAGGTCTTCAAAAAGTTCATGGAAAATGTAGATTATGCAAAAGTTGCATGGATTTTAGCATTACTTAAACCGGAATAAACTTGTACTTAAAAGTTCTGAATTTTTTGAAGTTCCCTTGTGTTTATATAGCATTTACATTGTATTAGGTGTTTTAAGTACTCTAGAGATGATTTAAAGTATACTGGAGGATGTGCTGGGTTATAGGCAAATATAACATCGTTTTATATAAGGGACTTGAACATCCATTAGTTTTGGCACACTCAGGGAACCTGGAAACAATCTCCCATGGATGCCAAAGGATGACCATGTAGTTAGTATAAGTCTCCTTAATCATGTAGTTTTAGTTTGCATTGTACCATCATTTACATTTATATACTATATAGGAAAACATAAATGGTTTCATTTCTTATATTTTCTTTGAGGTTTTTGCCACAGGGTGAGTGTGCTCACTAGAGAGACAAAGAGAGAAGTGTGAGGGGGAAGGTGAGAAATCAGCCCCCAGTAGGGATGGCTACATTGCAAACCCATCTCTACTTTGCTCCTGGGATTTTGGACACACGGCGCGTGCACACACACACACACACACACACTCACACACACACACACACGTGCCTAGTTTGAGTTTCCAGCCACTGGGTCCAGGACTGGATCTGTGGTTGGCCATGTGGGAATCCAGCGCCTTAACCACCACTTCACCTGCTGGTCTTTTAGGTTCTAAAAATCTTAAAGATAACATCAGAATTACATATGTTTTCTAGTAGCTTTCTTGAGGATTCGTTTCTTCCCTTGAGCATATCTGATTCTAGCAGATTTTTTCCTTTATCACTCTTTCTCATGGCAGCTGTGGATTTTTAAATTCCTTTCTCTTGCCCACCAGAAAAATAGTATCCTAGTTTGGGCTAATTAGATGTTTGGTCATCTGGAACAAATGAAGGGCAAATTTGTGCCTATCAAACACAAGTAAACTCAAAATTTTGATCAAGATTAATGTAAATAACCTCAAAAGGGAATAAATAATGTGTGGATTATATCATCCAGGTATTCAGGTCAACAGATTCATTAGTAGATTAGCAGTCACGCCCTTTTCTGATGCTTTTCATAAATGGTTGATGTTCGGATGTGAGTGTTCATCTGTAGTATCATAGCTTTACTTACAGCAAAACACTCGGCAAGTCATCTGCTTATTCTCATTGATAAAAATGGAGCTGGTTAGCCTGTCCTGCTCTTTTGAAAGGACCGCTGGGAAGATCAAAGGAAACGGTCTGTATTCTGCGGGAATTAGAAGCACATTCAGATTACACAAGTCTCACTGGTTCCTTAAAAACAGGATTGCAATACTTAAATCATCTGAAAATGCCCTGAGCACAAAGCAGTCGGGTCCTAAGGTTGAACACAAACTAACGCTGGTCTTCAGAAGCCTTTTCCTACAGTCAAGAGTGAAAAAATAAATTTTAGAGTGACTACATTTTCGTCAAAGCCTGGGTTTTAGTTGGATCTTGAAAAGTCCCCAGGGGAATCCTTTTAAAATTTTCTTTTGCTATGTGGACTGTAGCAACGTTTGTTTGAGTGGCATAAGGCATAAACCTGTGTCTGTGTGGTCAGGAGGCCTTTGTAAAGCCAGCCCTGATGCAGTGCGACCCCAAACGTTTGTGTTTTCCAGAGTGAACCCTTCAGAGCCTGACTATCCAAAATAGTTTTCACAGGAGTCATCGTAGCTGAAAAGAGAAAGCCATATTCCAGTTACCTGTTAGCTTTAGATTGATCTGACCAGGAAGTAGATGATGTTTGTGAAGAAATAATAGCGTGTTTAAGTCATGTAACTTTTTGTTACGAAGGAAATGATGGAATTGTTGAATCTGAAGAGTTTGGACAACCCACGTCTTTCCTCACCTTCTGATCAACTTTGGATAATCATATAGTAGTGAAAAAATAATAAATGTACACATACACACACAGATGAACTTTTTAGTATTTGATGCCGTTTCCCAAATGTTTGGGTTTGGGTGTTTGCTTCAGCATAATTTCTTCCCCACTGTGCATAAAAACATGTTCATCTTGTTACCTTTTTATAGTGAAAGCTAAAATGTATATGACACTGGAAGATACTGTGAAAAGAAGATTTTTAAAAACAGTTTTATTATTCTTTAGATAGAACTTGGATGCCTGCTCATATATTTCCTTAAAAGCCATAATAAATTTGAATTGAAAAATACATTACCAAGGCTGAGGTCAGTTATCTTTACTAAAAATGAATGCAAGCAACAATGTGTAAATAAAGTTTGATACAGTAGCCCTTCCTGTATAAGTTTCTAGGTTAAGAAGAATATAAAGAAGTTATACGTTTTTTTTTTTTTCCCTAGCCCTATGAAGAGTACATATCAGGCTGAATTTTTTTTTTGCAAATATTACTGTTAAGGAATTAAAACAATGTTTAAATTAAATTTAATTATTATTTTATTTTTAATTTGCTATAGAACATGTGTGCTCACCAGAGAGAGACAGAGAGAGAGAAAAGATGAGAAAGCCAACTTCCAGGTTGAGCCACAGTCAGCCATATGGGAGTCCAGCGCCTTAACCACCATGCCACCTGTCAGGGAATTTTTGTAAAGCTATTTTACTTACTGATCCATTATATCACAAGACTTGACTACTTTTTTTCCCTCACAGAGTCTAATGGTCTGTCTCCTCCTGCCTCAGCCTTGCAGCCGAGACCACGGGTATATGCCACCATGCCTCATTCTTTTTCCAGACAAGGTCTGGCTATTCTGTTGCTCATGCCACCATCAAGCTTACAATCCTCTTGCCTCAGACTCCCAAGGTGCTGGGATTACAGGCACAAGCCACTGCACCCAGCCTTTGGATTGGACCAGGAATTGTATCTGGGCCTCCCATGAGATCCCAGCCTGCTGAGTACATTGTCTTAGCAGCACATGCCACTGTGGCTGGACCCAGGTTTGACATTTTATAGGTCATTTCCCCTATTGGTTTGTTTGAATTTGGATGAGGATAGAGTTATGTGGTCAACTCTTCATCGTAATAGACTTTGTGCTACCCAAAAACCTGAAAGCAGTTTTATGTCCCTGGAGGTTCACTGTAACCTTGTTCTGCTTTCTTGTTACTAGGATATTCCTTCAGGTTGCTTCAGGGAACTCGTGTGTGCCTGTGACCCTGGCTTCCTGGCTGGCTGGGGCTGGGGGTGGATTGCGATAATGGAATGCCTCTCTTTCCCACTCTGTTTCTTTAATGGAAGAAATAAAAATTAAATTAAAAAGAAAAGAAAGGATGCCCTGTTAACAGAGCAGCTCCAGACAGATCAGGTACTAGGGCTCTTGCATTTTTTCTAGCGAGAGAGGCAGACCTGCAGTTAAGCAGTAATAAACTGAGCTACAGAGAGTAAACTGGGATGCGGGTTGTGATGGGGAGTGAATGATTGCTAGTTTCTGGCTTGGCCAAGTGGCTATGGCCAGTCATTGAGACTGGAAACAAGATTCTGTGGTTCTGAGGCGGCACTCCCTTGATGCGCCTCTTACTCTGCTCTGACAGTCATGGTTACTGATCCCTGTACCTGAGGAACAAAAGGGAATGATACCTGTACCCTAGAAGTGCCCACACTACAGGGCTGTGTTTTCCAGCCGTTCTGAGGTGATCCTTTCCTGGCTCTAGCACAAGCACCTTGTCTCTCCACCAAGACTCCAAAGACTTGAGAAGCAGAACTGACTTGCAGGTCTAAGGCCACTGGTAGAGTTTCTCTTCCACCCAAGATTTTGCCAAGGTCAGGTCTCTACTTGCTTGTTGTGTGATTCAAAGAAAAGCTCCTGATTCTTAGGACGGTTTTTTTTTTTTTTTTTTTTTTTCTCGTTTTCCCTTATCTCATTTGTCGGTTGTCACCTGAGTATTCCAGCCAGAGCCGTGCTTCATTCCAGCTGATCTCACAATAAAAGCTGTTGTAATGCTACATTGTCCGAGGCCAACTTTGGATGTAACACATGTAGGCACTCAAACCAGCTGCTTCTGGTTGCAGCAAGAGTCTCCATCTCATCATGGGTTCTTTTGGTTTCATATCTACTGCCTCAGTGTTTATCACACTAGATCTGAGTCGTAGCATCAAAATTATACTAGGGATTTGAGATGGGTTTGATGTAACGCATTCTTTCCCTTTAAGAGTTCATTCAAAGATTGACAGCAAAATGAAAACCAAAGTGTCATTTACTGACTGGGCAAATTTCCATCGTATGTCCCAAAATGTAGGCCATCTGGTAGGTTCTGTTGGTAAATGTAGCTTAGACCCAAGACTAGAGATAGACCCTCCATTTTCCTTGGGGACCTATATGTTCTGGTGTAGTAGTCAGGAGGCAAGGTGTAGAGCTGAAGCAGAACCCATTGTATCAGCCAGCAGGGAAGCCCATGGGCTGCTTCACTCAGCCAGGGAGAGCAGTGGGAATGGAGAGCCTCCCCTTGGAGACCCCCACTCAAGATGCTAAGTAGCAAGAAGGCCAGGGCTCTGTGCCAGAAAACCTGCCACCTGAGTATAAGGTTCAGTTTGAAGCCACAGCCTGGTTTGTGCTTTTGAGGCCCAACGTACAGAGTTAAATGGAGCCCATTCAATATAGCTGTGACTGTTTCTGAGGCCTATTTTGAACATGCTAAATTGAGATGCTTATCTTCAGTGAGTATGGAATAAGGACCACATAGAGGGTAGACCAGTTGGATATTACAGATCACAATCCAGAGGGCAGGACTGGATGCATACCAAGCATAGTGAAATAGGGGGGTTTTCATGGTAAAATTCAGGCAGTTATACTTTGAAGTTAGTAGATAAAGATCTCTTAGTTGCCTAATATCTAAATCAAGCATTCTTTCTGAACAATTATTCTTGGATTGTCATTTTAAGAATGTATTCTAATAAGTCTGTGGCTGTCATTACTTTTGAAAGGGCAGGAATTCTTTATCTTCAAAGACCAGTTTCCATCCCCCAGATACACTGGGTTGTCAGAAAAGTCATAGCGCATGTTTGCATAGAAAAACAGAAAAACTTGTCATGACTTTTCTGATGACCCCAAAATTCACTT